GGGGTCACGGCCTGGAGGCTTGTTTGAAAACCTGCATAAACATCTCCTATCAGGGGGAGAGCTCATGCTCCTTAGCCAAACAAGTTGTTGGAGATGATGTATTGTGAGTAGATTTGTTAAGTCTGAGCTGGGGCCATTGACTCTCCCGGAACCCCAAGACCTCTGGCCACTGCTGCTGGGGAGAAGGCCTGGTCTCGGCGCAGAGACATGATGTATTGTGAGTAGATTTGTTAAGTCTGAGCTGGGGCCATTGACTCTCCCGGAACCCCGAAGACCTCTGGCCACTGCTGCTGGGGAGAAGGCCTGGTCTCGGCGCAGAGACGCTCAGTCCGTGTGTCCCCCTTGCCTTAAAGAGGCAGAAGCTTCCCAGAGGCTGGACCTGCTGCCCACAAGCAGGAGCTCAGCGGTGGCTGTCACTGGGGTCCAGACCCCAGCCCCACCTCTCTACCTCCCCTATGAGCCGAGGCACAAGATGACCAACTCAGGCACCTACGTGGTTGCCCCCATTGTCCCCAGAGTCAAAGGCTTGAGATGACCAGCAAAGCCCTGCATCACCAGCCCTTGTCAACCATTTCTGAGCTCACCTGCTCTCCGGCCTGTTACTCTGGCTGTCCCTTCTGCCTGGAACATTCTTCTCCCAGTGAGTGCTGGGCTCCCTCCCAGGTCTTTGATCACATGCCACCTCCTCAACACGGCCACTCCAACCACTCTATTTTAATACTGCAACTTACCCACCCTCACCCTGGCCCGCTTTTCATTTTCCATAGCACTTAACACCTTCCACATCCACACAATATAGTTACTAGGTCTCTTGTTTTGCTAGAATGTAAGCTCCAGAGAGCTGAGCTCCTTATCTGCACCTAGAGCAGTGTCTGTCATATAACAGATGCGCCCGACTGCTGAATGAATAAATGGATAAATGAGAAAAGAAACAATAGCCTGCAGCCCTGGAGGTGGGAGGAAAAGACAGAGGGTAAAAACCACAGAGACAGGACATCACCAGGGGTTGGGGCCGGGTGCCCTTTGTCCCTCTGGTAAGTCATCAGGAGTAAAGTAGCCTGGGAGGAATGCTGAGACCCTTCATACAAAGGAGAGCGAGGCAGCCCTCCAGGACGGAGGCTTGCCCAGCGGGACCTAGTGTCTCTGGACAGTTTATTTCACACGGGATGAATCTAAGCATCTCAAGTGTACACACCAAGGCGAAGAAGAAAACAAGATAGCATTTGTCTTCCTGAAAACTCTTTATAATAATGCAGGACAATTATACATAGCAAACGCCTTCAAAATTTAAACTCTTTAAACATTTTTCAGTATTAATACACACAAATGCTATTACGGGGGTGTGGGAGGGGGTGGGGAGGGGTGGGTTACAGCCTCCATTAGGATCAGAGTTTCAACAGTGTTACTTATAAATTATATTACATCAATTTTATTTACTGATCTAGGCAGCCAGAGGATGGAAGGATATACAATGTGGAGTAAACACATTCATACCGGGGTGAGGGATGCTGGCAGGAGACACGGCTTTTTAACATTAAAAATGTATAAAGTATTTAGCAAAAGTTACAGAAAACAGACCAAACAAGCAAGTTTATTTTGTTAGAGAATCCCACTTTCATAAGGTTTGCTGATGTGCTTGTGTCTGAGAAGGGGATGCCTCTGGTCATCTCCTTCCTAAGGGAAGGGAAGAGATGCAAATTTGGGGCCCCTGTCACCAAGGATGGCAGGTGTCCCTTTGAACGTCTGTTCCTGGGTGCATGTAGCTGCCAGGAAGCCAGTCTGCCGCAGATGGTGCTGGAAAAGAAGTGCCCTACCTGACAGAGAGCACACAGAGGTCCCAGCATGGGATGTGACTTAACTTCAGGGTGGGGACCAATGAGGCAGCAGAGCAGGGCCAGTCCTGCGTGCTTCCCCCTTGGTCTCCATGTCATATGGTCCCCACGAGAGTGCCCCTGGGCCTTGACCCTTCACATACCAACACTGCAATCCCATTAGGAATTTTCCTCAAACACAAAGGATCCATGTCCCCAAACACCGCACACCAAAAATCATCATCATAACCCCACCACCCCCGCCAGAGACACCTCCCAACAAAGGCTCCTGACAGAGCTACACCCTAGCATCTAGAAAGTGAGGGGAAATGGACCGTTGGTTTTTGTCCTGTAATTCTCACCTTATCTCACTGCAACAAGAGTCCTCGCCTTCAGGAAAGCCCCAACAGAAAAAAATTCTCTTGCAGGGGAGATAGGGAGAGTCCTCCCATGCAAAATCCAACCCAGAAGAGTCCCAGCAGCAGATATCCTCAGCTCCCCACCTTGGGACCCTGTGGGTTTGGGCTTCCTGGCCCTGATCTTCATCTGGCCTGGATCCAGGGATGTGTCCGGTTCGCTTGCAGAGGGGCCCTGGTTACTTTCTGGGTTCATCTCTCACCAGGCAGGGCATAAACAAGACAGAGCTTGGAGGAGGGTTACCTTGGGGGGTTCACACCCATGGCCTTGCCTGGGCTGGGTTTGGTTCTATCTCTTCCACCATGTGCCACCACCCAGTGGGGTGAAGGCACATGCCAGGCTCAATGTGACCACTAGCTCAGCAAGGCTCCAGCAATGACAAGGACCCAATGGGGGGTGGCTCCATCCTCACACCTGTCTTAGCTCCTTGGGAGTGGACTCCAAGACACACTATCAAAGATCTGTGGATGAGACCCAAAAGGTAATGACTTAGGCTTTCTCTGGGGGGTCCTAGGAGGAACTACCTCATTCTCAATAGTTCATAAAACTCTTAATTTTAGCTCCATTTGAGTCTAAAGGAAGAAGTACCAGGGGACCTCTCTCTCAGGATTTTAGGCAACTCTATAAACAACTGTGCAGATGAGACCAAGATGAGGCACGGCCATGCGCAGAGGGTGCAAAATTGGAAACGAGAAGCAGAAAAGATAAATGCAGTAGCTGGAGGCCTGAGATACCAACTAGAACAAATACCCTCAGTTTGCAGATGAAATAACAGCTCCAGGAAAGGGTCAGGATGAGCCCAAGGGTCAGCCCCAGCCTCCTCATCCGTGCTATTTCCATTTGCCTTTCACAGCCCCCAATGCTCAGTACATGCCAAGGACCCTGCAAATTGAAGTGAGGGTCCTAGCAGAGAGCAGATCTGCTGGCTATGAGTCCGTGCTATTTCCATTTGCCTTTCACAGCCCCCAATGCTCAGTACATGCCAAGGACCCTGCGAATTGAAGTGAGGGTCCTAGCAGAGAGCAGATCTGCTGGCTATGAGCCTCAGGCTGCAGTAGAAGTGGGAGGACACTAAGACCCTGCCTGCTCTTTCCCCTCCAATCCCTGGCTGCTTTCTGCACTGTTAAAAACCTAACACGAACCAGAAAGGCAAATATGAGCCCCAAGACTATCTGTGGGCACGGCTGGCATTTGGCAAAGTAGATGTGGGAGCCGTAGGAAGCAGCAGGCTAGAAGTGGCCATGCAAATAAGCTGAAGACCTGGGCCAGGGACTTCCAGGACAAACAACTCATTTTAAAAATAATGAAGCAGTGTGGTATGCCCATGCAATGGAATACTACTCAGCAATGAAAAGGGACACACTGCTGATACGTATAACATCAGGAGTGACTCAAAAGCACTAAGCCAGGGGAAAGAAGCCAGACTCAAAAGACTACATCAGTGTGACTCCATTTATATGACATTTTAGAAAAGGTAAAACTGTAGGGTCAGAAAATCAATCAGGGGTGCCAGGGGGGGTGCCAGAGGAAGGATGTGGGAGGTGGGAATACATGACAAAGGGACGTTTTTTGGATGGAAATGTTGATTTTGGTGGTGGTTACAAGACTGTATGTCAAAATTCACAGAACTGTATACTTCAAAGGAATGAATTTTACTTCAATTATTTTACTGTATCTCAAAAACCTGGAAAAAGGCGGCAGCAGAGGGCCTTGTAGGGGTGAGGAAAACAGGCACAGGACAGTGTCCAGGCTAAGCAAGGAGGCTGCTGATCCGTAGCCCACTCCGCAGTTGTAAAGAGTTCTCTACCTACACAAAAAACCTGGAAAAAGGCGGCAGCAGAGGGCCTTGTAGGGGTGAGGAAAACAGGCACAGGACAATGTCCAGGCTAAGCAAGGAGGCTGCTGATCCGTAGCCCACTCCGCAGTTGTAAAGAGTTCTCTACCTACACAGTAATGAACAGGTCTTTAGACTCCTGCTGACACTCTCCTCGTCAAGGCTACTTGCAGCTGCAAGTAAAATCACCTAAACAAGCCAAGGTCTTTGATGTCCTTTGAATTTTATGGCTTGAATTTCCAAGAAGGGATTATGGCTCAGCCAAGATTTTTATGCACCCATCCACTAATCAACTGATTTTCACAAAGGGAATAGAAACAAACTCCTGATTCGTGAATTTGTACAGTTTCTGTGTGCTCTGGCTATTAATCAGCCTCAATGAATGGAGAAGTGCCTCCTACAGCAGAAATCCTCCTTAGTCAACCGGGTGTCGAGCGGAGGTAGGAGGCCCAAGGTGCTGCCACCGACAGAACCTCAGGGCCACAGTCCACGTGGTTCAGTTGGCCTGTGCATTGCAGGACTGATTAAAAGCACTGGAAAAAACAGAAGGTAACAAGTGGCTCGTCCTGGGGGTTGTCATGGCAACCAACTCTTTTTGAACACCATCTGTCTTTGAGATTTTTTTTTTTAAATCAGGTTTTCACAGACAAAACTTCCATGTATAAGTGTCTTCCAGGTGGGGGCAGGTAGGAGGGGCTGATCTGTCCTCAGAAACTGAACACTGGATGTTCTCAAAAACAGTGCAGATGCACCCACTCTGAATACACCCCGCCACATCCTTGCATAACCTAAGCACCAAAACGTAAACAATAACAAAACGACGACTTGGGTAGTGTGTTTGCTACCGCAAAGTGCACTTTTAGATTTTCTAGACTTCATCCTACTCTAGATTTCACCTGGGGTATGTGTGGGTGGGGTGCTTTAAATAGGGTTGGGGGGCCTGGACTCTCAATGCCAGCCCCACTCTTAGTTCATGTGTCATTCACAGCACTCTCTGGCTATCCCTGGGCTTCACTCTTCTTATATGTAAAGTGAGAATTATTTAAAAGTCATGTCTGCAACTGGAGCTGGCTGTGTGCTATGAGGGCCTGGTGACTAGGTGACTAAAATCTTGTTGCTATCTACCCTCTATCCACTAGGGAATCAGGTTGGGCTGGCTGGTTAGCTCAGTTCATTAGAGCTCAGCCTTATTAACACCAAGGTCATGGGTTCAGATCCCCCCACCAGCCAGCCGCCACACAACAAAACAAACAAAACTGCCCCTCACTAGGTGAATGCCTCGTGGCGGTAGTTGACATTGTAATTTAAGAATCCCAGTGGGTTAAATGTGGAAAGGGTGCAGTGTTCTTACTCTCCAGAGATCTAAACACCCCCTGTCCACATGGAGAATAGAGGGGGCGAGGGAGAGTGCCTGTCTCATATGCAGCTATAGCTCCTCTGCTCAGCACAGTGCCTGGCTTGTCCTGGACATTTGCCAAATGCACGAAAGAGCGAGTGAATGAATGAACGCAGATTAATCAGCACAACCGTCAGTACCTCTGAAAACCTAAGCTCTGAAGAGTGTACCTGTATGTGAATGCCAAGGTTACCGACCCGCAAGGCCCCTAGGGAAAAGATAAGTCTATGTGAAACACGAGATCACAGGCTTCCCTGATGACAGGGCCACGGTTTGTTCTCAGATTGGATTTTTGCACACTGCTTGGACTTCACTAAATGCTTGATGAATGAATGACGGAAGGAAAAAGAAAAGGAGTATATGAAGAGTCTAAAGAGGAGGTGAGAGGATGAGGGAAGAAGAACGAACTTAGAAAATGGACTGATTGGACCAACCTGGGCTTCCCTGGAAGAGGCGGGAGAGCTCACTCCATCCCAGGGACGAGCAGAGGACTCTGGAATCCTCAGATGGGAATGAGGAGACAAAGTCAACGAGCCACACCGCACTCAAAATATCTGTGTTCATAGCAAGACCACTGGCTCTGAATGTTTGAAAGTCACCCACAAATTAATTTCCTAAGCCACAAGGCAATTATCACTAGCACCCATTTTTAATAAAGAAACCAAGAAATAATCTCCTAAAATTGGTAGCTGGTGTCATGGCTCAACCCCACCAGATTTGGAAGGAGTGGTTCATCATCCACGGACAGATCCCACCGGGTGGCCGTCATGTTGCTGGAGGCCCTCGCGCTGGCCTTTTTTTGGTTGGGATGGCTGAACAAGAGAAAAGTGACAGTTTGGTTTGCTTCAGTCTATGAGGCATCTTTCTAATCTAAACAGAGAGCAATTCTCACTTAACAAAAGAGGTGCCAAAGACTCAAGATCAGTAAGTCATCAGTTAACAGCATGTACGACTGAGAGAAAGACCAATGAGTTGTGCTTGTAGAATTCTGCCCTTGTGGGAGATGTACGGATCGAATACAAAGCCATGGACAGGAAAGATGAAGAAAGATGTGCTCTCAGGGGCTGGGTCCTGGCTAGAATCTGCCCATCGCTCACTGTGTGCCTTCCCTTAGGTCCCTTCTCTTCTCCTGGCCCCTCAGGCTGATTCTCTAAAGTGATGAACATGTTTGCTGTGATAGAGAAAGGGACAAAGTGATGAGGTGAAGCCAACGGCAGCACTGAAAGTTTCCCAGGTCACAGTCAGACCAGGCTTTTCAAGAATCGGAAGATGGAGAGAGGGCAAGGACGTGCCGGCACCAAGTGAGTCCTGGGCACAGGGCTCTGGAAGGAGCTGGAGGCCAAGGTCACTGCCTGGAAAGTGACAACCTACTGTGGCCATCAGGGAGTCTGTGGTGCCTGTCCAGTGCCCACCAGTGAGAAAGCTGTAGGAGGGACAGCAGTCCCAACCAGACTGTGCACAAGCAGAAGGAGCCATCTGAGGGATGACAAAGATTTGCCTTGACCTGTCTCCCACTTGGGACTGACCCAGCCCCATTAAAAGCCCATGGTGGGCAACTTGGGAGGGCGGTGGCCAGGGCAGCCCCACAGTGCAGAAGGCACCATGGCAGCAGACTCCAGCTGGCCCTTTGTGCCTGGCTGGCCTCCAGGGTGAGCTGGTTCATTTCCATCCCCAAAGTCTTTGAACACTGGTGCAGCTGGACGAGGTCTTGATGGCTAACTTTGGAACTTTCTAACTTATGAGACTGGGAAGGAGTGGCAGGGTAGGGCGGGGGCTTCCCCAAGGAAGCCCCAGAGGGGCAGGTGCACTGAGATTTCTAGAGGAGACTGCAGATGATGCCTGATCCGAGAACACACATGATTCAGCGCTCCTACTTGGGGCTAATTTGCCGAATGAGGTAGTTCCGTCCTGACCTCTCCAGGCAGGGCGGGAAGCCCCAGAGGGGCAGGTGCACTGAGATTTCTAGAGGAGACTGCAGATGATGCCTGATCTGAGAACACACATGATTCAGTGCTCCTACTTGGGGCTAATTTGCCGAATGAGGTAGTTCCGTCCTGACCTCTCCAGGCAGGGCAGTCTGGGAAGAAAGGAGTCAGGCCTCCTCCCAAGATCCCTGGTGATGCAGAGTGGCCGAGAAAAGCGGGAATGTGGGCTCCAGAATATAGGAGGAAGAACAGGAGGTGGGGGCGCTGCAGAGGACTGAGGGTGTGGCTGTGAGCCCAGTGGCACCTTCTGTCCACCATTCTCATCCTGACACTCGGCTGCAGACAGAGACCTCCCTCCCCTGACTTTCCAAAGCCCTGGATACAAAGGGGCCAGCTGGAGAAAGGGCCTTGGGGCTTCCAGGGGCACCAGCGTGTTTGGCGAGCCCTACAGAGCTCAGCAGGGACCACGAAGTTCCAGCCTCAGTTTGTTCTCAGAGTGGCAAGCACAGCACAGGAGTTGGGGGGCTTCAGCCTTGGAGACAAGGGCAGGGCTGTGGGTCCATCTTCTTGGCCTGGGAATACTGGGCAGCCCCCAGCTGGGCCATCCGAGTTGCCCCTCTGGAGTTACCAGCTCTCTCCCTCTCCTCAGTGGACTAGGAAAGGGGGTGAGAGGACAGCTCCACTCAGCATTGTCCCCACAGCGGGAGCCCCACCTCTTCTCCTTGGGACCCCCAGCCCCTCTCCGGGGCAGGACTCCCCGGGGCCGCACACACCCGCCTAGATCTCCATGTCAACAGGGCGGATGCTGCCCGTTTTGTGCTCTCTGACCCACAGCTCCCTGTCTTTGGCTGGGTCCACTTTTCGAAGCAGTTGATCCACAGGCTCGACTGTCTGCAAGGGATGGAGAAGAGGGGACACTGTCAGAGGTGGCGGGCGAGTGGGGATGTCTCCTTTGTGCCATGCTGCTCTCACCTCAGCGCCTCTCTGGAGGGTTCGGTGCCCCAGGGGAGCCCCATTTGAGGGACAGAATGTGCCAAGGGCTGAGAGAGCAGGGAGCCCAGAACTGGTACTGTCCCTGCTACTAGTCTGCAGACCCCAGGCTGGATGAAACGGCAGGATGGCTTCCAAGGCTCGTAGTCTGTGACCTCATCCTCCATGTGTCCCCACATTTACCACCAGAGGACAGAACAAAAGGAATGCTAGCTTCAGGTATTCTGAATATTTCTAGAAGGTTTTTTTTTTTTTTTCTTTAAGAAATTCAGCAGGGGAGGCAGTAGCAACCTCAAGCACCAGCCCCCTGTGCATCTACGTCATGCGCTGGGGACAGACTCACATGGACATCCAGGCGATCCTGACAAGTCCATCCCAAGAGATTCATGAGTCTGGAGCACCTGCCCACTGCCCACCTTCAGGACAGATTCATTTGTAGCGGCCACTTTGCCTGCCATGGCACAGTACCAGGTGACTCTCCCCTGGGCTCGTGTCTCCCAGGGGCCCTGCTGGGTGGGGCACTCACGCTTTGGTTGAACATGTCCGTCTCGTGCCGCAGCTGTGTGTACTGGCACAGATGTTGCCGGATCATCTCCACCCTCTCCACCTCCAGCCGCTCCAGCTCCTGCCGAGGAAGAAAAAACCAGAGATCTCTGAGCACGTCCCCTCAACCTGGCACCTTCCCACCAAGTGGCCCCAGATCACCATTTACCCAAGACACAAGTCTCTGGCTGTGTAGACACAACCCCATCTGACCCTCTGGGGTCCAGAGAAGAGACTGCCCAGTGTCTAGGGGTGAAGGTGATGATAGCGGCAGCTACTATCTTATTCCTGGAAGCTTGCTCTCTCTGGCACCGTGCAAAGAGCTTTACGCACATTACTCGATGGTCCTTATTATAATCTTAAGAGACAAGTTTTGTTATTATCCCCATCTGCCAAGCAAGGGAACTAGCATCTAGAGAGGTAACATCATTTGCCCAAAGCGACATGGAATTAGGGGAGGAGCGCGATTCAAACCAGGGTCTGCTGTGCTCTTAATGGTGATTCTGCACCAGGGCAGCACCAGCCCCAGTACCGGATGGGGTAGAGCAATGGGACCTGTGTGCGAGCTCTCGGTGCTTTGTCCTTGGTTCTCTGCTGGGCAGCCTCCCCTCCTCTGCCCACCCCTAGTGCTAGTGACGGCACAGACAGTAGGCCAGGGGAAGAGAGAGGGCCGCAAGTGGAATGGCCACTGTCAAACAGATGAGGGGAAAGGGTTTGGTCTGTCCTTTGGTTTCTAGATGGTTGCGCGCCTTTGGAATTTAGGGGATCAGGTTGTTATTCTGTGCACAACTAGGTCACTGCCCAGGTGATTAACTGGACAGGAGGTAAAGCAGGGGGCTTAATTAGGAGATTAGCCAGGAGGAAAACTAGGTCACTGTCCTCGGTGGAGGCCTCTAATCTGCTCTGGTGGGCTGACACCTGGGGACGGCAGCTGGTCAGTCCTGTGCTGGATGGATAGGGGGTGGCTTTGGGCAGTGGGACAAGCTGATGACCACGTGGCATGATGTCTCTCTTCCCAAGTGGCCCAGTGGCCCAAGTACCAGCCATATTTCACCGTCCCACTTGGACAGGTTCTAACCGATAGGGAACTGCTGTCCCTTTACAAGAAATACTCAGGACAGCATCACCTGTGCTGCCTGTTCCCCACTCCTTGGTCAGAGGCCTCCCTGCCCACTGCGCTACACAGCTTCCCCAACCCTACCCACTGATATGCCTTGCAAGGATTTCCTATCAAGGACTTGCAACTCACATGTGTGTGTGTGTGTGTGTGTGTGTGTATGTGCGCGCGTATGTATGTGGGGGGTGGGGAGAGTCACTCTTCCTATATCTTGGCTGTTTGTCCTAAAGGAGCCACTGTCCACTCAGTTGGAGGAGTTCTCGGTGGACACTGACCCCTCAGGGGGACAGCCCAAGAAAGACATAGCAAGACCCAACCCTTGCCCAAGTTCACACAACTAGGAAAAGCTAGAGCAGGGCTTTGGATCCACATAGGCTGGATCAAATTGAGGTCCTAATCCTCCCCAACACTGGAGTAGATCTAATGGCCATCTCTATGGTCACCTCTACTCTATCACCCTCGTGCCCACCACCATCCACCCAAGGTTTCCTGTGCACCATTCCTGAGCCGTGTGCCCACACATCCCTGCCTACATACCAACGTGGTGGTCACCATCTCTTCAAACCACTTGGACTGGGCCTGGTTGTAGAGGTCCACACAGCGCATGAGGTCATCTCCTGGAAAAGAACAGCAGCCACCATCAGCTCCAGCCTGTCCTTGCCGTGGCTGCCCTCTGCTCTCCCTGGGGTCATGTAGGCCATCGGAAAGTTGGGGAGGGGTCGTGAGGAGGGGAAAGCAGAGCAAAAGAAGGAAGGGGGCAGCCAAGCTCCACGAGAGACCAGCTTCAGAGTGTCCACCTGAACTTGACCCTAGTCACCAGAATTCGAGATGGGGGTTTCTCATTTGTGTGTGTGTGTGTGTATGTGTATTCCTAGGACCCCCAACCCTATTATGAGGCCAAACAATGCTTCCTTCTTTAAAGATGGCAGTTTTATTTTACACTAGAGAGTCCAGATTGGTTAAGACACGTGTCACAAGCAATTTGGTACTAATTAGTTAAGAAAGAAAAATTCGCCAGTTGTGTGTATGTGCGTGCGTGTGTGCACACAGCAGATGTCATTCTGAAACACAAAATAACCTGTCTGATGGTTTATGGCTCATTAATTGTGCAGTCACAGTATAAAAACATGCACTGGAGCGCTACACACCGACATGAGCAGAGTGGTTACCTTGGGAAACAGAGGAAGGGTGAGTGGGAGGGAATCAGCTCCTTCTATAGCATTTTATTTCATCAGAGAAGGCTCGAAGCAAACATAACTATTCAATCTTTACGGCTAGTACATTATCTTCTGTTATTGTATGTATGTTTGAAACATTTTGTCAGAAAGAAAACAAACTGCAAAGTAATCGTCAACATTATTAAGTATACCAGCAACCCGGAACCTTGCTACATAAAACACAGTCTGCGGACTAGCAGCACCAGTACCCAGTGGGAGCTGGCTAGAAATGCAGAAACCCCAGATGTACTCAAGGTCCCCTGAATCAGAAACTGCATTTCACAAGATCTTCCCGTGGCACATGCATATGTTGTGGCGGGAGAAACACAGCCCTAGTGCATGGCTTCATCTGAATGTAGCTTCCTGAGCAATGCAGGGCTCCAGCGAGACGGAAGAGCTTGTGAGCCAACCCAAAAGCTAACTGGTTTACACCAGTAATTCTAGAGTAGAATCTAGTAATTTGAGTAGATTCAAAGCTATTCCCCTAACAGCAACACTCTTGTGCACGTGCATTCTGATAGGAAAGTGAACAGAGATGGGAGCATCTTGACCACGCCACCCACAGCTAGCTCAGTATCCCTGCTCCCCCTGCCCGGGGAACCACACCACTGGCCATGCCACACGCTGGGAGAGGAGGCTGCACACAAGAGTGCTGAACCTTCAGTAACGGAGCCCAAATCGAGGGTTTTGCTCATTTTGCTCTTGGTCCAAGACCAGAGAGGGGACCTTTGATCCCAAGAGGCACTGAACTGAAGAGAAGAAAGTGGACCCTGCCCTGCAAACGCATTTCCACCAAGAGCTCATGCCTGACCCAAGATGTCAGCATGGTGCCCTCCAAACGAACCCTATGAAACTCCCAGTGCCGTATCTGTTGACTCTGATTTTAAGAACATGCCGTTAGAAACTTCTACAGTACCAGGAAACAGAGCAGGTGAAGGAGGAGGTGTCCTCTCTCTATGGCAGCCCAAGGGCTTGACACTGGACACTTCTGACCAGTACTGGCTAAGAACATGGATTCTGGAACCAGAATGCCTGGGTGGTCATCCTGGCTCCTCTGTTATCTGTGTGATTTTGGACAAGGCAACCTGACTGTACCTCAGTTTCTTCATCTGTAAAATGGGGATAATGTACTTTCATAAGAGTTGTGTGTAAAGATTAAATACATCGACATATATAAAGTGTTTACAATGGAGACTGGTACAGACAGCCAAATAAGAGAATAAGCTATGGAGGTGGTGATGATGATGATGACAAAAACTGTGAGGATCCAGACGCCCTTCCTTCCAGTAGCCTTGGAGAAGATGAAGGGGAAGGAGGAAAGGAACGGCTGGACCATTTTGCTGGACATAGCAGCAGAGTGTTTGGAATAAGAGAAGACTGAGTCCTGGCTTGGCCACTCCACAGCCATTCTTCATCTGTAAAATGGGGATAATGTACTTTCATAAGAGTTGTGTGTAAAGATTAAATACGTTGACATATATAAAGTGTTTACAATGGAGACTGGTACAGACAGCCAAATAAGAGAATGAGCTATGGAGGTGGTGATGATGATGATGACAAAAACTGTGAGGATCCAGACACCCTTCCTTCCAGTAGCCTTGGAGAAGATGAAGGGGAAGGAGGAAAGGAACGGCTGGACCATTTTGCTGGACATAGCAGCAGAGTCTTTGGAATAAGAGAAGACCGAGTCCTGGCTTGGCCACTCCACAGCTGTGGGCCTGGGGAGAGTTTCTTCCCCTCTCTGCCATCGGTTTTCTCACTTGTGAAAGGGTATAAAAATACCTCCTGATGGGGGGACTGTCAGGATTAAAAGGGACGATGCTCTAAGGCACACAGCCTCGTGGCTGGCACACAGTTAAGTGCTCCAAGAAGAGGGATCCGAACCCTCGGACGGGAGCGCCACCGCGCTTCCCAAGCGGCGCACTATCCAGTGCGCCACCGGGCCGGCCCCATAATTTATTTTTTAATAATAAATTAAATCAATTTAAATATGCCTCTTCCCTCTCCCAATAAATAGACCTCCTACTTCTGGATTCAGTAATTTATTATTGTGCATTATAAGGTCTGTAAATTAAATGTTATGCTTATATCACATTATCTTTTATTGAATTATTTCTATCCTGTGTTATTTCAAAATATCTGCAAGGTGGCTGCTTCATTATATAATGAAATCAATTGTAGCAGTTCCACCAGAGGTGAAAGGGACCTAGAGACCATCCAAACCCTAATCCTACAGCACGCATTTTAATTCCAGAGGTAATATGCATTGTCCTTGCACGTAGTAAAACTTGGCTTCTTTTAGAAATAGTTACCGAGTTTTTCATTGGTTCTAACTGGCCTTTCTTCCCCATCCTTGTGCATTAACTATCTTTTTCCAGTAGGTGGAAGCAGAAACCAACTCACTGGGAGAATCTTTCACAGAGAATCTGAAATCTGGTTATTTCTTTAAATAAAATGTGGGCCTCAGTTCTCAGAGCAGAAGCCCATCCCCACAGGTGACACTCCAGAGAGTCCCTCCCTGGGGAGGTGGGGCAGCTTGAGTGGCTGGGTGGGCTTTGCACTTCTCCTGTGGGCTCTCAGCAGGGACAGGGCCCTGAGCTCCTGGCACATGCAGGAATTTGTCCACCTCCTGTTAAGAGCTCCCAGGCTGGGGCCAGAAGAAGCCAGCACTGGAGAGAGTGTGAGGAGCCCAGTCCCCAACCCCCAGTCTCTTCCTTTGAGATCCCTGGATAGCAGGTAGAGAAGGTGGGGCGCTTCCTGGAAGACGAGGGGAAGAAACGTCCCCTCTGCAATTCGCACAGCAGACGCACCCTCCCTGGCTGCCCCACCTCCAGCGCTCTCCTTGAGCTCTGGGACCCTGTGGGTGGGCGGGTGCTCACCAGCCTGTGTGGACTTTCTCCGCGCCTTCTTGATGTCCTCCTCCGTCTTGTTGCTCAGCTTGATCTCCAGCTGCTGGGTCTTCATCTCCAGGTCTCTCTGTCGCTCTGTGAGTGCCTTCCGGGCCTGGGGTCCAAAGACAGGGAGAAGCTGCTCATAGAGCCCCGAGCCATGGGCCTCCTGGGCCACACGGCCAGCGTCCTTTTCCTCTGTGTGGCTGATGCCACAGGGACTGGGGGGCCAAGCAGCCAGAGAGGCATCACCCAGTGAGTTAGTGACAATGCAGAGGCCTTCTTGTCCCTGCCTTTTCCAATGACATGTGGACCTGGCCTAACCCAATCTCTCAGACCAGGTGTTCGCTGGAGCATGTGCACCGACAGGGGACCCAGGCAGTCCTAAAAGCACAACCTCTCAGGGTTGGAAGGGACCACAGAAGTCACCGTGTCTCCTCCCAGTGGTGCATAACAGGCTGGAAGCACCAGCCGCCCCACTCCAGGTTAGACGAGCCACAAGCCACAAGCCACAAGCCACAAGCCCCTTGCTCCTCATGGCTCCTTGCGGTGGCTCACTCTGCCGGTCACCATCTATAGCTCCGCAGCCCCCTGGTGGAGCCAGGGTCTAGGGTGCCTGCTGTGGTACATGCCCCTTCTCCTCTCAAAGGCACTGGGTCAGCCCCTGGGAAGGCTTTCTTCCCTCCAGGGCTGGCCATCAGCAGTACCTCCACGGTGCCACCACCTGCAGCTCTGCCCAGCCTCCGAACAGAAAGGTGAGCTGCTGGGCATCAGGGAGGGGGGCGATTTAATCAGGAGAGAAGCTGCCAGGTGAGGCCCAGGCACAGAGGCCACATATGGACTAGCAGCACATCCAGTCTCAGTGTCCATAAAAACACGGGCTTACCTCACCTCACGTGCCTGCTATGCCCCCTACTGTGGCCGTGCCTGCAGCCTCCCCTGCTCTCTCGCTGGGCCTCTGGGTGGCCACATGACTGCCACAGGGCAGCAGTTCCTATTGCATGTGCACGAGGTTCAGACTTTCCCCGATCCCACCACGTGGAACCAAGGCCTCTGCCTGGGCACACCGAGCCCCTGCTGGCTTCCCAGGCCACCCCCTCCTGGCAGCCCCCACATGCTGGCCCCGGCCGGGTGTCCTGGGCCTCTCACCTTCTCCACCGCAGCGTAGCGGCTGGCGAGCTGCTTGCGCAGGTCAGCAATGTGGTGGTCACACTTTTTCATGTCTTTCTTGAAGTTCTCTCTAAAGTTCATCAGGGGCTTCTCTACCTCGCTGTGAAGCTGTTGAAAAGACAGGACACACACAGGGCTCCAGAGCATTAGCCATGAGCAAGTGGAGGGAGGGGCACTAATCACTCCCCCTGGCAGATGAGGATGGGGCAGTGCCTGGCAGGAAGGTGTGACACAAGCTGTTGCTTATCAGGTTCCAGTTTACACCAGTCACCTTGGCACGCGAGGCCCCAGCATTCCTATATATGGGATGAATAGGTTAGGCTGGAGCTTTCCCATCCCCCAACTCCCATCAACTAACTTCTTCCTCTAAGTGCCCATAGAGGCTTCTTTTCTTAAAACTTTCTTATCGTGTATATTTATGGTATACAACATGATGTTCTGAAATATATATGGACAATGGCTAAGTCAAACTAATTAACATATGCATTACCTCACATACTTATTTGTGTTCCACAGCTTCTTGTACGGCTTTGCTCAGGTGTTTCACTCCCTTACTTTCCAAACTAGGAGCTTTCTAGAGACAGAAACCATGTCACCCACCTGTGTCCCTAAGCACTTAGCACAGTGACTGCTGCCTGCACTCGGTATGTAACTGCCAAACGGATGCCATTTAGTTAAATGATCTCAGGTCAGTTCTATTTATTACACATCAACTACAGGCCAGGTGCTTTACATAAAGAATGTAAGTAAATGGAAGAGAAAACAAACAATAAAGAAAATCAATGAAACCAAAAACTGGTTTGTTAAAAAAGATAAATCAGGTCAGTTCTATTTATTACACATCAACTACAGGCCAGGTGCTTTACATAAAGAATGTAAATAAATGGAAGAGAAAACAAACAATAAAGAAAATCAATGAAACCCAAAACTGGTTTGTTAAAAAAGATAAATAAGGGCCGGCCCGGTGGCGCACTGCTACAGTGCGCCACTTGGGAAGCGCGGCGGCACTCCCGCCGAGGGGTCGGATCCCACATACAGACCGGCCGCTCACTGGCT